TGCAATATTTAGGTCATATTACACTCTCTGACCCTTAAGCAATCAACATGGATAGGCTGTAAAGAACTAACTTCTAACAAAATTTGAACTTGTATCCACTATCCTTGTTTGGACAACCCATTATTAGTTTTGAAATCATTTGTCCACTTTTCTTTTATTCCTTCCCTATTGTCTTTGTCAAATTTTTTTAGATAAGTGGGCTTAGCAAATTTCTTATTTATAATACAATAATTATGTTTGTTCTTTTGAATCTGTTTTTGTTTTTAATTCAGGTTGTCATGCTGAAGGTCCTGAAGCTGATGAGTTGACTCGATTAGACTCTATTGCAACTGCAGCACCATCATTTGGATTTTCAAAAGCAGGAGGTGATCCACCACTTTACATCCAAAGTGAAGAACTGGAAATTCTTCAGACAAAGTCACAGGTATCAAAGTCAGAATCCCTTGATACTGATGGAGCACTTACAGAATCTTCTGATCTTCAACAACAACACGTTCCTCTACGAAAGCGTGTTGTCGACCAGTCTGTGTCCAAAGAAACCATGAATGATTTGGCAGTTGAGAAGGTCACTCACTCTAGAAAATCTGTTAAAGGCCAATCGATATCTAAAGAGAATTTTGGTGCTGCTCCTGAACAAAAATTGGTTGCCTCTAGAAAACCAGTTGAGGACCAGTCCATTTCTAAAGAGACTATAAAAACTTCTCCAGGTGATGTTGCCATTTTCCGCAGAAAAGGTGTTGAAAATCAATTGGTATCTAAGGAGGCAGCTGACACTTCACAAGAGGAACAAGTGGTGCCTCGTCGAAAACGTGTAGATAATCAATCAGTTTCCAAAGAAATGCAAGACACCACTTCTGGGGAACAAGTGATTTTAAGGAGAAAGCGTGTGGACAATCAGTCTGTATTGAAAGAGACAATGGATGTCGCATCAGGAGATCAAGTAATACCTCGCCGGAAGAGGATTGACACTCACTCGATTGGTAAAGAGTCTTCAGAATCAACCCTCAATTACAGACACTCAGGAATCTTTATTTCGTCTTCATTGGTCACCCAAGGGAACTATGAGATTGAGCCCCCTGCATGGAAACAACCTGAAGAACTTTATGCTCAAGAAACAGACATGAAGGATTTTTCCATTCGGCGCATGAGTGGAGTTTACCCTGCTAATGAGTTCCATCTGGAACCTACAGTTTCACAAGGTAGAGTTTCATTTATTTAGTCATATTTAATGTTAATTATTAGTTAAAATGGCTTTTGGGATCATTCTTAATATTGTTGATATTTGCTTTTTAAAATAAAGGATGAAAAAGAATTGCCATTTGGGTAGCAGATGACAGAACACTGATCTCTTTGTCATTATATCATTGTCCAAAAGCAAAAGCATTTTGGGCTGTGATTTGTATATTATTTTTCTTGTTTTTAGCAAAATAAAAGTTGATGATTATTAACATTGGAGCACAATTTTACTTAATTGTTAATACACTTAACAAAGGCAGAAACTAAACCTCTTTATTTTTGTCTATTATTTTTCTGAAAGTACAAGTCATTGTAATGGTTCATGAGTTGTCAAATGAAATTGGCAAACCAGTTTTAAAGTTTGGTTGTCACAATTTGACATTTTTGCACTTTTCTTTTGTGAAGGCATAAATCCAATTTTCCCTATACTCAGCTCCATTAGAAGTAGGTTGTAAAGAGCATGTGCATGAGTTCATTGGCAAACCACTTTCCCATGATTCTCAAGCAACAATAACAAAATAGATGCAATATCCATTTTCAGCTTTGACAACAAGAAACAACCAAGATTTTGATAGTGAAAAGCAAAATAGACTCTTTGATATGTTCAACAAGGAACAAAGCAACTTTAACTGATTATCACTTTTGCTGCTGCATTGTTATAGTATTGTTACCTGGCCTTTTTTTTTAACTATTCACCCAATACAAAGCCCATGAACCACTCAAGCTTAATGATTGAGGTTGATAAGAGGAAGATGTAAGAAGTATAGTTTAAGAGAATATGTAGGTAAGATAACAGTTAATACTAAATTTAAAGTGGTTAAGATTGTAGTGAGCCAGGAAACATCTTCTTGAGATTTTGTTTCACAAAGCAGTGGTTCATGGGAAGAAACTGTCTGAATGGAACTTCCTTTGCAGTAACAGAATATGAAGGGAATGGAGATATTTTATTCCAGTGTCTATGGCATGGCCAGTCTTAGCTGTGAAGGTCAGGTTTGATAGAATTAAGGAATGTAGCTCATCAGAAGATTTGCTATGGAAATCATGATAGAGTACCAAGTAGCTTGCAACATTTTGTCTAGGATAGGTGTTGTAGAATAATTCATCCCCGACAAGGCTGCAAAGATGCTTTTGAGCTCTATTAAAGCTGGAAATAAATTATTATAAGGAGACTGATGGTAATTTTTAATTTCCTCCATCACACATGGTCAGGTTAGCTTGGACATTCATGAGTCTATCATGCCATCCATCATAGTCCTGTATAAATGTTGGAAGGTCATTAGGGAGGCATACCGTGCCTTAGCTGGTCAATATAAGTGGTTGCTTGGGTGACCAACTTGTCTTGCTGCATGGATAGATTTCCAGAATGGTAGATCACTCACAAGTAGTTGTTTGCTTTTGCTCACCAGCATTGTCCTGCAAAATGCATTCTGCATTTGTGTAAGTTTGTACAAATATCAGGAATGGGTCAATAGAGCTGTGATTTAGTTGGATGTTATCTCCAGGAGGTGCTTTTTTAACAGAATTAAAGATGGGAGTAGAAAAGGTGCTTCAAAAAATCAAAATGGCTTTCAAAAAAATAGATCAACTGTTGGACAAATCCTGACTGTTTGATTGAGGGCAACAAGGCAAAGAATCTACAGGCTGCCTTACTTTTTGTAAATTTCTCTAAAGCCTTCGATTCTGTACATAGGGGAAAAATGGAGACGGTCCTTCTGGCATATGGCATCCCCCCTGCCAATAATGATGCTATACAAAAATACCAAATCTTTGGTTAGATCCCCAGATGGAGACACTAACTTCTTTGGCATTAAAGCAAGAGTCCTCCAGGGTGACACCATTGCTCCTTTTCTCTTTGTTTTTACCCTTAACTACGTATTGAGAACTTCCCTTCACAAACATCATCATCATCTAGGTTTTAGGTAACACACACTATAATAGAAATACATTACAAAACAAGTTGTATTGCATGCTATTATACGCCTATGATGATTTGGAAAGAGCGCTAGTTAGTTTATAACACAAATGCTAGGCATTTCACACTGTCTTGAAAACACACATCAACAGGAAGCAATGTTAGCTTTGTAAAGGTGTATACGTTCACAGCAGTGGAAGTGTTACTATTATAAAAATTTTTCAAGTGTTCCAACTTGAATGCAAATTTTTAGTCCTATGTATATTTTCTTTTTATGGAATGTACCATTTTGTAATCATTTGACCAACAGTACAGACATTTACACACACACACACACACACACAGAGCCTTTTATTAAGACAGATTTTTTGAAAACGTTCTTCTAAAAATGTAGCTGTTGTTGATTTCAGTGCACAGATCACAAGTAAAGCCACACAATAAGATGTCTTCTCAGATGTCATCAACAACAGAATCAGAATCAGTTGACCGAGAAAAACTGTTGCGTGAACGCTTCAAGCAAAGGAATGTCCATGGCCATTCCTCAGATTCAACTGTCCAGAAGTTGCTTTATGGAAGAAAGTTCGGCATCCACACTGACCCTGCTGATAAAAAGAGAATAGGGGATGAGGGTAAGTAAAAGTTGTTTACATTTGTAATCTCGTGAATTTCATTCAGTATGTAAATGGTTCTTGAGATTGTGTATGAATTGTATGAAAAATAAATTTCTTATAACGAGTTTTTTTTCTTTTTGATTTTATTTGCTTGTTATTCTTTGCTTGATTCCAGATTCTCCACTCACAGAAGATGAATTTGAGGCCATGTTTAAAGCTTGGAAAAATTCAATGTCACAGCCTTATGATACGGAATTTGACTTTGGTGCGTTTCACTATTCTTCTTGTCTCCATTGCAATAAGGAAAAGGAAAAAAAAGAAAAAGAAATCAACTAATGAAGATAATAATTGTTATAAATTTCTTTTTATTGATTTCATTATAAGATAACGTCAGGTAAAAACAACCCCAAACTGGGTAATTATATGTGGCTTTATTTGGTTTGTTATAGTAATAATGTTTTGGCCCTTCTACTTTCTGGCCTTCCTCAGGTACCTTCTATTTGCTAACCTGAAAATTTCAAACCATTTGGGTAAATATTCCATAACAGTTAATTCTTAATTATGATGCTGCCTTTTGAATGTTTTGCTGCTTGACTGGGGATTTGAGCATGTGATCACCAGCTAACTTGATGCACATCACAATTACATTATCCACATTTATGCAATAAGACAATCAAGAGTAGAATTTTAGGGCCTGGTATTTCTTAATCAAAGGCTCCTTTATGGTGTTCATTTCTCTGCTTGTCCAGAATTTAGAGGCGTTGATAAGTGAAAAGAAGTTCCTTGTGACTATATTTCTAATACTAAATTAACTATTGACATTCATTGTGTAAACTCTCTTGGAGTTTTATTATTTTAACTTAATGGGTATGGGTTTTGGGCTGCACATTCAACCAAATCCTTTTTCTCTCATTCTATTTTTTATTTATTTTTACATTGGTCTTTTTGATTTTATAATGCGGAATTACTTTTATAAATATGTTCTGGTTTGAATTCATATGCTTATCCTAATCTGTGTGATTTATTGATTTTGGCATTTCTATTACTCCATTCATAAATAATTTAACAAAGCAAGCCTGTGTCCCTCTAAAATCATTTTACTATAAACCAATAAAACACTTTCGTGGAATTTGAACTTTACTTCCATTCATAATTGATTTCTTTAATAATAAATTTTATAGAAAATATTTCTGTACAAATTTGTAAATACACTCATGAATATACATTTAATTAAGGCTTATGGCTACATCACATTGAAACACCAGTTCTCATATAATCACTGAAGTTAAGCAACATCAATCCTGGTAAGTACCAAATGGGTGACCACTTGGGAATACCAGGTGCTGTAATCTTGGATGTGTAGGTGACGTAATGAATAATGGCTTGGAATTATTAATCAGAAAGCTGAGTTCCAATTCCCATTGGGTTCGTTATATTCACTTACATGCAAATACTCTTGGGAAAGATATGACTCCACCTCTTCTTGACCATTAATTAGTAAGACTTGTATCATTAAATTATTATCTGCCAAAAAATATTCTTAGAATCTAAAAATATTTTATGGCTTTAAATAACCTGCAAAGGGTTAAGCTGTAGAAAACAAATCAATCAATAAAAATCATTTGATTAAATCAGCAATTTATAAGTTCTTCTATTATGAATGTAAATACTTAAAAGACGACATGAAGAAGTATAAATAATACTAATTACATTTTTGTAATCAATCATTTTGTGCATAGCTTAATTTTTAATAACAAAATTAGCTTTTTGCATTAATCATGATTTGAAGCCTCAGATGGGGGTATCCAGTTAGAGTAAAGATATTCTGATGTTATACAATAATAAGGAATTAGATTTTCTCAATGTAATCTATCACTCAAAAATAATTTCATGTTTGGAAGAGCTTGTTGGATTCCATTTCTTTAACTCAAATGGAAGTGCTCTTTTTGACATCACAGCTCAAATGACAAAAAAAGACCTTAATTTTGTTTGGCTCTGCACATCCACTTCTGGAATACCATCCCAAAATAATGTCCAATCAGAAAAAGGCTCACATGGTTTTTGCAGTAACCATTTCTGAGTCACTGATTCCTTATAAATCCAGCACTGATTCATCCCATGAAGACACATCATCACTGGCATTAGTGACGAACCCCATGGCAGACTACACAACTGCACAAGCAATCAGCAGTGACAGTGAAATTGCTTCCATTAACGGTGATACCAGCAACAGCAGAAACTTGACTACTACAGTGCGATACTTCTCCTGTGAGTCTATCTCACTTGATTACATATGTGTGTTGATTTTCTCCATGTGTCTGTCTCAACTACTACATTGTGTTATACCCTGAATGAACTTTCAGTCTCCCACAATTGACATATGATACTCTGGAGTGAACAAATGACCGAACCTAATAAATCACAGGGAATAAAAAGCCTCTTACTTATCCCAACCACATCTTATTGCCATTTGTTTTGTCACTTATGCTTTTTTTCTTGTTAGCGATGAAGCTGCTGTTACAAGCTAATGATTAGACTTAAGGTTCTTGTCTCTGTAAGGCATGAAAAATTGCTAATCTACATAATATTGACTAATGTTTTCATTATAGATATTCATGAAAACTGGTTTGTAATGAAAAGTGTATCAGAAAATAATGTAACTTTTGACCCAAATAGAAATGATTGAAGGATTTTGTAATATTCATTTTGCAGAAGGGGACCGCCTGGTCAATATTGACCGAGATCTCAGTTACATTGTTCATGGCCGGTCAGGTATTCGATCAAAGGCTTCCATCAGGGAACTGGAAGCCTACCAACACACTCCTCTCCCTGTCCTCATCCAGCAGTCTATTCTGGCTCCACTCACTTCACAGTAAGATTTTACATTTGCAAATCTATTTTCTACTCTTCTCAAATGACCTTCATGCATTTGCACGTATCTTTTGTCCCATTGTCCCTGTAAGAGGAGACAGAGGCTGAGAATACAATTTGTTGTCAAGTTCATAATTGCAAAAATACATATTTCACAGCATTTGAAAGAATTTTGAGAAAAATGTATTTCTGGATTTTAGTTGCAATTTAAATGATAAAATACTTGATCAATAAATGTAAATATATACTTTGCTGTTAAATCTGTATATAATGTAAATTCTGGGAGTTAAACAGATAATGTGACATTTTAAGTAAATCTTGGTAAAATTTTTGTTTTCATTTAAGAATCAAAATTTGAAGTTTGCACAGTTAATTTGAAATTATTAAATGTCTATTTTTGCCTTACAGGGGACAACACTAATATTACACACACACACACACACTGAATGTTATTTTAAATAGATATCCATATTTGAGTAGATGCTCTGTTTTTATTTATTAAACAGTATATTTATTTCTTGAATATTTGAGAAATTTTATAAAAATATGGTGGTGAGCACATATTTTTCTAATAAGATTTCTTTAATATTCAGACCAGTAGATGGAAATATATAAAACAGACCATCTACTCAATATGGGTATCCATTAAAAATAATGTTTATGCAATAAATTAATATATATATATATATATATATATATATATATATATATTGTTGTGTCGTGTATATTGCTAAGTAAGCGTTCGACCTCTGTTCTAGTTGGTGTCCGTTTATCATATGAGCTACCTGCTCATATGCAAATTATACTAATTTGCATCTCACTACATCTCCCTATAACGGAAGGGCCTTATGCCACGAGTACTTCTTGTACTTCTTCTTGTGCCCTCCTGAACATCTCTCTCCTTTCCCTTGGAGATCTAGATCTATCACGTCTTTCCCTATAATCGAACTGTTCCTCTTGCATACTCTGGTCTTTCTCTTCTAACTTGTCCCATTCTACTTCTTCCTCTTCTAACTCATCCCTCTCTACTTCTTCCTCCGCAGTTTCATTCTGCATTAACTCTTCTGTTACGTCAATAATGGGCATCTCTGAAGGTATTTCCTCATCCGATTCTTCTCCTTGGGATCTTATTTGGTCAGCATGAGCTAGAACACTGTTCCCATTTTCTTTATTTAATATTGCAGTATTATGTCCTTTCTGCATAATAAATTCGGCTGACTCGGGTTGCATATTCCTATTTCTTTTGTACCACATCTTTTGATTTGTGGCATATGACATAGTCAAAGGGACCTTAATTGTCTGCCCATTAAGGCAGATGGACTTTCCGGCCTGCCTGCATGTGGAATTGTTCTGTAACTTAATAATAGTCTTAGTAGAAAAGCATCGATTTCCTCCTTCTGTTGCAAGCATGCTTTTATGCCCTTCTTTACCGTCTGGACCATCCTTTCCGCTGTCCCATTACTTTGAGGGTGGTAGGGAGGGTCTTGTAAGGTCTGCATCCTATTTTTCTTAGCCATTCATGCAAATCAGCATCCACAAATTCTGGTGCGTTATCAGTCACCAATGTTCTCGGTGTCCCATTCCTCGAAAATATTACTCTTAATATTTGTTTTACGGTGGTACTTTTTTTTATCAGGTACTCTCACCACTTCAGGCCAACCTAAATATGCGTCTACTAATATTAATAATAGTCCTATCCCATTGACATAGGCATGGTCCATGTGTACTCTGCTCCATGGTTCTACTTCTCGGGGCCATACATGTATTTTCTTTTGCTTAAAATTCCTGAGTTCTGTGCATTTTTTGCATCTTTTTATGTAGTCTTCTACGTCTCTTGAGTACCCCGTCCACCATGCTTTTTATAACCTGTCTCCTCTGTGTTTCTGGGGGAACTACCAAGTCTCCATTACATATTATCCCGTTTTCTATAGTCATTTTATGTCTGATTTCTTTGAATGGTCTTTCAGCCATTGAACAATTTCCCCAGTGATTCTGTTTTATCCTCGACATTATTCTATTTAACACTTGGTCATTTGTAGTTTCAGTAGCCATTTTATCTACAGATATTACATCGGTTTCTACAAGGTGCAAGAATGTGTCTTCAAATTCCTCGTCATTTTTGTCCTTCTCCTCTCTATAAAACCTCAATCTAGATAAGGTATCAACCTGCGGTATCGTATTCCCTTTAACATATTCAATGTCAAAGTCGAACGCCATCAGTCTAATCGCCCAACATAATATTCTGGACATTGTAACTTTCGGTAGCTCTTTTCTTGGGTTGAAAATAAATTCCAGTGGTCTGTGATCACTTTTCAACAAGAATTTTTTTCCCATCAAAAACTGTCTTGCTCTATGCGTTGTCCACACTATGGCTAGTGCTTCCCTTTCTATATTCGAATAATTGCGTTCAGTTGTTGTTAATCTCCTCGATAAGTACATTATGGGATGCCCATCTTGTGACAAAATACCAGATATGGACTGCTCACTAGCATCAGTAGTTAGAGTTAGGTCCTTCTTAGGGTCAAAAATTTGTACTATTGGCTTTTTTGCCAGAATCTGTTTTAAGTTTTCAAAGGCTTTCTGTTGGTGTTCTAACCAAATGAATTCCACATTTTTTTTTTTTCTTAACTTAGCAAATGGTTCTGTCAACTCATTATATTTTGGTACATATTTTCTATAAAAAAATTTACCAAACCTAAGAAGGACTCCAACTCTTTTTATTTTTCGGTGTAGCAACTTTTAGAATTTTCTCTATTAGTACTTTATCTGGAGAGATCCCTTCCTTTGATATTGAGTAACCCAAAATGATATTTCATTACTGTTGGTTACACTTTTTTTGTATTTATTGTCATACCAGCGTCTCTTAGCCGGTTCAGTATATTTTCAGTTTTTTTCTTTAAATCATCTTCATTTAAATCTCCAATACATATATCGTCTTTATAACAGATGGTATTTTCAACATTTCCTATTACTTTTTCAATAGCTTTTTGAAAAATTGCACTTGCCGTTTTTATGCCATACGACATTCTTTTCTACCTTAACAGGCCTATAGGTGTGTTTATGGTCGTCACTTCTTTAAAATTTTCATTTATCGGTATTTGGTGGTAAGCTGATTTTAGGTCTATCTTCGAAAATACTTTCATTCCAGCAAGTTTATGTAAAGCTACTTCCACATTTGGAATAGGGTACGAGTCAGCACAAACTTTATGGTTCACCCCTATTTTATAATCTCCACAAATTCTCAGGTCACCATCTTTTTTTTCAATAGCACAATGGGTGATGCCCATTTACTTCCTCCTGGAGGGGCAGGTTCTAATAAGTATTCCTTTATTAGCTTTCGCAATTTAGCTATTACCAATGGTAATAAATGCACTGGTATTTTTCTCGCTTTGTAGTAGGAGGGGGAAACATTTTCTTTTAATTTCAGGCTAGGTTCATAATTTTTTAATTTTCCTGTTTTTTCTATTTCTATCTCATTA